AAGTGCGCCGACGGCATATATACATATACATATACATATACATATACATATACATATGCATATATATATATACATATATATATATATATATACATACATATGCATATACATATATATATATACACATATATATATATGTAGATATTTACACACACACATTTATGTGCACGCGCGCGTGCGCGCGTGTGCCTGTGTGCGCATACATGCCGGAAAGTATAGGGTAGGTTTAGTCGAAATAAGCGGGTCTAGCGGTTTCTTGCAGACTCGGGGTTCTGTTTTTCTTCTCAGATCGTTTCGGGGGCTCTTTTGACTCTGGAGCATGAGTCTTTTGATGTTTTCTAGCTACACAGGGGCTTAAGAGTCTTTGATTGAAGAAACGGCCTAGGGTCGAGGGCTTTTGAACGCAGGAAAGTGGTAAAGGGTCCGAGGCATAGCTTTAGGGAGTCCGAACACTTTGCCTGGACTCAAGATTAGGATTAGAGGTTCACCTTTAATTCAAGGGTTTAGGGTTTAGGGTTTCGGGTTTGAGATTTGTCAACAATCCAGCAAACATACATTTTGGAATACCTCAACATGATGTCGTGAGAAGTCTCCTTCCTCAGATAAGCCGAACTGTTTTTTTGCTAGAGATTGGGTTTAGGGTTTCATGCCAGGTGCTTTTCTCCGACCGTGGCAACGCTGATGTCATCACTTGGCTCGGCACGCAGGAGTACTGGGGCACGGAGGTTCGCGTGGAGGTCGAGGGAAGTCTCGACGGCTCGGGACACCTTCACGTGGACAGCATCAAGCGCTTGAACGATGGCAGTGTATGGCAAGGAAGTGGTGCAGCAGGCGCTGACACAACTACAACCACCACCCCCAGTACTACAACGACCCCTCAGACAACCCAAGTTACAACTTCAACAACAGAAGCAAGCACTTCCACCACAACCCCAGGGACAACTTCCACCACGACCCCAGGAACTACTTCCACTACAACAGGAACAACTTCCACCAGTACCCCAGGGACAACTTCCACTACCACCCCAGGAACTACTTCCACTACAATCCCAGGAACTACTTCCACCAGTACCCCGGGAGCAACCTCTACTACACCTCTCGGCACTCCGAACTCCGACAGCTCCACAACAGGCCCTAAACCCCACAATTTCAACCCACCCTAAATCCTACAGGGTTTTAGGATTAGGGATTAGGGTTTAGGGTTCAGGATTTATAGGGTTTATAAGGTTAAGCCTCTAAGGTTTAGGGTTATAAGTCCTAACTCTCTCCAACCCTGAAGCCCTAAAGCCCTCGAGCCCTAGAGCCCAGAGCACACCAAAGCCCCTACACTGACAAAACCCATGGAACCACCCTAAGCCCTAAGCCCTATAAACCCTTAAGCCCTGAAGCCCCTAAGCCCTTAAATCCTTCAGCCCTGAAACCCCTAAACCCAAAACCATCCCCTAAACTCCCCCAACCCTCCCCCAAAACCCCTTGCGAGGTCCCCTGGCGAACCCCTCGTCGACTTCTGGGGGTGGGCCGCTGTGGGGGCTGTCGTGGCTTCTCGGACTCGGCCTGACTCTCTTGCCGTCGCTGGCGTGAGAGGACCTTTGAAGTTCGAGTTCCTTGGGTTTCGGGTTTTAGGATTCTAGGGCTTGGGGCTTTAGGGGTTTAGGGTTTAGGGTTTAGGATGTGTGTAGGGTTTTAGGGTTTAGGGTTTAGGATGTTTGTAGGGTTTTAGGATTCTAGGGCTTGGGGAGGGGTTAGGGTTGAGGATGTATGTAGGGTTTTAGGGCTTTGGGTTTTAGGGTTTTAGGGTTTAGGGTTGAGGATTAGGGTTCAGGGTTTAGGTTGTGGGATCCAGGCTTTAGGGTTTAGGTGTTGGTTGTTCGGTTCCCCAGGGGTGTTTATCAGGGTTTCATACATTTTTTTGCACGCGGTTTGCGGGTATTCTAGAGGTAAACCCACCATATTTTCGACCTGAAACCTGATCAACCGACATTTTTATGGTTAGATTTTGTTTTATGATTATGCCTTCTTCATCAAAGCATCCTCAAGCCTAAAGTCTGAAGACGAAACCCTAAACCCCTAAACCTCCCCAAA